AGCTATGAGAGCCTTTCCCTTTGTCTCAGTCCGCTTCCACACTGATCTGCTGTCGCGTGCCAATAAATGTGTCACCCACCAACAAGAAACACGAAAATGCTCTAAAAGACACAGCTTGTTTAAGTGAGCCATACCGCCGAGGGTCGTCTGCTCGTCATGCTTGTGTCGGACCGATTTTTCCAGCAGATCACGATCATTTTGAGGAGATCATCGCGCATTTGGCTGATTTCGTAAACTAACCTGGTCACGTGACGAGAGCGTCCTACAGAAGGGCTGCGTCTCAAATCCAGCGTGCACACTACCTAGACAGCATTTGTGGCCGTTCTCAGACACCACAGAATTCGTATTTTTCCATTATTTCAGTTTCTATTGCGTGTCTAAAAACCGTTACTTTTAAACTCATAGCTACTCAACAATTGAACGCTTTGATATAGTTTAATAAATCTGATTTTTTTAATCCGTTCAAATAATAATGGATTGCTATTTTGTGATTTTTCAAATATTAATTCCCTGTACGTTCATTTTGACGCAATAACTAAATCGTTGGACTATGGTATAAACATGATGTATATTCTTAATGTTTTAATTAGTGCTGTCAAATCGATTAATCGCGATTAATCGCATCCAAAATACGTTTTTGATTAGAAATATTTACATGTATATGCATATATATATGATTTTTTGTTGTCTTGTGGACTAAATGTAAACATCTTTTATGTAAAATATCTTACTCAGGACAGTACTAAATAAAAAAAACTCTCTTATTTTGTTAAAATTATTCACATTTTCACAGATTCTGCAAGGGGTTCCCAAACTTTCGAATGCCACTGTAAATATACACAGTACACACACATATATCATATAAACAAAAACTTTTATTTTGGATGCGAGTTACTGATTTTAGAGCCCTAGTTTTAATAAAAATAATTATTTTGCCATTATATTTGTGTAGCAGACTAAATGGTTGTAAACGTATTTTCATCAAGCAATGTCTAACTATTAAGTCTGCAGTGATATGAGCTCAGAATATTCTGATCATCCGTTGTTTTTTTATTAAGGAATATGTAAAAACATACGGCTGCAAATGAAACATTTTTTGTGATTTTCTTATGAGACGTGCTACATTTTCAACAGATTATTTGATATTGCTAATTTCGCATTTACATCATGTCCCACAATAGGTGCATTTCTTTCTGTAAGAAATCAGTTTATTTTATAAGACCATCTTAAAATGAAGAGCATGTTAATACGCCTCAGCCTACTTCATGGTCATTCTTTAAAAAATATATATATATGGTCAAAAAGATGTGAAATAAATCAACTGATGTTGTTATGAATGAATAAATCATTGCAGTATTTTAACTGTTTGAGACACCACTACACTCTGCCATGGAGAGAAAACAAAGTTGTAAATAAGCAAATGTAACAGTGGATGTGTTTGATTTTCACATTCTACTAAATATGAGAATATACATACATATACATCTCAATTTCTTTACATACATGACTTCCCACCCTACTCTCACATATTCAATACCAAAGTGACAGTCAGTACTCTCAATGTATATGACAAGTTCTGTATTCGAATCAGATGAACTGGACCCTCATTTCTTCTTCTTTCTCTTCTTTGGAGGTCCCTGATCAGAACTGCTTGAGGAATCGGAATCGGAGTCAGAACTGGAGGAAGACGAGGAGGAGGAGGAAGGGCTGGAGCCGTCATCGCTGTCACTGCTACTGTCTTCAGACGAGGATGAGGAGCTCGAGGAACCGCTGCTGTCCGAGGAAGAGTCGCTGGAAGAGCTGGACGAATCACTACTGCCGCTGCTGGAACTGGAGGAGGACCTAAAAGAAAACAGCAGATGCAATAAGTGCTACTTTATACCACAGTGGCCCAAATCTGTGTTTGTTCCTCATGTGGCACAGATCAGTTATTAAGTTGGCAACGTGAACAACAAAAAATTGAAATCTGACATTTTTTTCACTTCTAATCTGCGCCACTTTCATATGTGGAAATATATCTCTGATACAGAACAGTTTTGCAGGTCAGGTGCGCAATGGAAAGGTGTTGTTAATTATTAATAAACATATTGATTGAATAATTATTATATAATTAAATCAATTGTAACAATAGATAATAATGACAAAAACAATCAGATACAAAACCCAACTCTAACATTAGTTCAAATTAATATTACACTGCTAAACGTTTCTTTAATTCAAATGTACTACATTCGTTATTATACTTCTGAAACATAGTGCTCAAACTTTGAAATCATCCAACAACAAAAAATCATCATAATAAATATAAAGATGAATGGAGTATGATCAATGAATCTAAATCATTTATTGTTTTGGACATCAACTAATATGCTATTAACATTATAGTTGTGCAAAACATTATTAAAACCCCTACAAGTGCAATTAAATTAAACTCATACCAGACCTAGCATGCAAGAAAAACATTAGTTTATTGGTTCCCTCAAAGTAATTTTATAGATATAACGTTGTGAAATTTCACTTTGTAAAAGTGCATCAATCAATCATGCATTAAAGGGGTCATATGATGCTGCTAAAAATAACATTATTTTGTGTATTTGGTGTAATGAAATGTGTTTATGCGGTTTAAAGTAAAAAAAAACACATGGTTTAAAGTTAAAAAACCACATTATTTTCCACATACTGTACATTATTGTTTCTCCTCTATGCCCTGCCTTTTTGAAACGCGTCGATTTTTACAAAGCTCATCGGTCTGAAAAAGTGAGGTGTGCTGTGATTGGCCAGCTATTCAGTGCGTTGTGATTGGCCGAATACCTCAAGCGTGAGACGGAAATGTTACGCCCCTCACCATACTGTTGATGCCGTGTCCGGCCGGAGCGACGAGACATAAACATTAAAACCCATTACAAACGAGGCATTTGTTGCATCCAGTGGGGACATAATTACTGATTATAATGACTTATACTGTCTTTTTACGCGTTGCGTTGCATTGTGCCGCGTAAACATAAAACCCTGTCTGTATTTGTGATCGGAGAAATGACAAACAACAAGTGCTAACGTTAATCCACACTGCCCAAAACTCGCGTTTGAATCATCAGTGGCAAATGATAAAAGAAAACGTACTTACGTGAGTCAGAACTGCCGGCATTTTAGTCGTAGTCTACTCTTCCAGGATCAGGAAACAGTCCTCCATAAAATGTGCTGGCGATCCACAGCACTAAGTTGATGTATTTCCTCAGCGACCAGCACAGATCAGCTCTAGGCATGGCGAAGCGGATATCGTCCTCTTTTGGAAGACCAAACAAAGTGGTTTCGCTTTCACAACGAAGCACACAGCGTCTTCACGACATGGCTGCAGTGTCAACAATACTACAGCGAGAATAAAAGTTACGTCTTCTTTCTTTGCGTGAACATTTGGGCGGCTTTATGCAAATCTTCCCACATAGTGAGGTAGGTATGTGGGGGCGTGTTCGAACGAGCCGTTTTAGGTAGGTGTGGCTAACTCTTAACTTTTATAAAGAATATCTCTTTGGATTTGAGACTTTAGTCTTTGCAACTTTACAGATCTTCTTTATGCACCAAGAGCTTGTAACACTCTAAAGAGAAAGGAAAAAATGAAATCGCATCATATGACCCCTTTAATCATAACATGTTCATACAGATAACACTGGTGTTCCCAAAAAGACAATGACTCACCTTTTTTTCTTTGTTTTTTTCTCACTGCGTGGTATTATTCCAGCTCTAAAAAGTGTCAAGAAAGTGGAGTTTAAATGTGACTGATGTGACTAATAACACCGCCTTGCATCATATTTGCTGAATCAAATCCAATACTAATTTCATCCTAATTTTGGGGTGCTGATTCCAAAAATAGTGCATGTTTTGCTCGAGCATGTCACACTCAATACAATATACATTAAAAATCTTACTGATCCCAAACTTCATATATATATATAATTTGAAATCCTCATTCTTATTTTGCGAAAAGAAAAAAAAAAGTGATGGAAAGCATTTATTGATATTTTATTACTCAGCATTGTCAAATTAGGTAACATTAGGCCTTTTTTACCAGCATAAAAGAAATTCAAAATGCAGGGCTTTGTAGGAATTATTCAAAACCAAACGGAACTAATAAAGTTGTCTGTATTGATTGTGGTTTTCCATTCAATAGCAATGCATGCAGTGTGGAGTTCTGCATTCTGCGCTTTCGCCTGTAGATGTCGCTGTGCGTCAAAGAACGTCATTGAAACGCGACAAAAACGGCCCTATTAGAACTACACGAGATTTCCAAACTAGAAATATTCGTAATATATACGCGAGTTATTATCGAAGGGCCTTGACTTATAAATCAGCGACTCATACGTTCAATATTACTACTCAAGTGTGTGAACGTTTTGTCGCGTTTCTTACCCCAAATCATCCGAAGGATTGTTCTCCTTGTCTTTGAGTCTCTTTTTTAACTCGGCTGTCCTGGAAGGTCTATAAAGATACTTTCGTTTCCCAGAGCACTCATAAGACCAGTGTCCGTACTCCAGGCATTTCTGACAGCGAACATGTTGTTTGTTTGCCTCCCTGTGGGAATAACGAGAAGTAACTCGTCGGTGCAAAAAGATAAACACAACAGACCCTTGAGAGTATAACAAAACGACTTGATTTTAAAAACCACACAAACTCAAATAGACGACTACGGAAATAATTAACACAACGAATACGTTACAGATGTAATTTAGAACTCAACTCCAAACTCGTATAATGTGTAAAATAACTCACGCTTGTCTCCGAGCGATCAGCCTATGCATGGGAGTCGCCATTTTGGATGCGATCGTGAGATTCTGTCTTCCGGTTTCTTCTTCTTCTTCTTCTTCTTGAAATTTTATTGGCGGTTGACAAACAACAAAATGGTGTATTTCCGCCACCAACTGGAATGGAGTGTGGATCAAAAAAGTGACTTCCTTGCCCCTTTTTTTTTTTTTTTTATTCTCTCCCACAAATTTGTTATTTTAAGGAACTGAAAAATAAAACTATAGCATTCATCCCTTGAGTTATTTTGTAAAATATATCTTGGTGTAAATTGCATTTAAATTGTTTCTAAATTTTTCTTTCAGTCTCATATTTCTGACAGTACAATATAACATGTTCCACTGTTTCTTCTTGTCCACAAAATTCACACCTTCCCGTATCATGTTTACCCATTTTAAAAAGTGTACTATTTCGGTTTCTTCTTCTTCTTCTTCTTCTTCTTGTTTTATGGCGAATAACTCCTTAGGAGCATTATCTGTCTTCCGGTTTATTCTGTCTTCCGGCCATCTAAAGCTTGGGAGAGTCTTCATCTGTCTGACTGTTTTCACAATCTATTTGCTCTATTAAGGTGACTATAAAGATAAACATGTAGACTAGTAAGTCAATATAAACCGTGAAGGCCTTGGCACCAATACATTTTATGGTACAATTACACAAACACTTTTCCCCCTCTATAGCTAGTTGTGGTTTTCATACACAGAAATTGACTTCAAAAACTAAACATCCCCTGAGAAAATACATTTTATTACATTCAAAACTCAGAAAGTCAAAACAAATGGTTTCCGATTATATTGTGTCGTGTGTTATCTAGGCTAATTATTGCGTTATTATTCGTAAATATAGTCGCGCAATCTCATTATCATCTGCAAATTGTATATTTGAAACTGCTAAATGATTATAATTAGGGGTGCACATAAGTGGTGCAGCTGCGCGACCAAAATAAAAAACTGCGATGTGTAAATATGTTCATACCGCTCATTTGCGTACCGACATAGTATGTCCCAAACCATAGTACATTGAAATGAGTATGCCATAAGGTGAGTCTCATTTCAAAGGTTGCGTGCTCTGTGGTACAACACTCCACACATTGGTGTTTTTGTATTGGTTGGCCTGTGTTGCATCTTACAGGGTTGTGTAACAGGCGTTTGGGATGCCACAGCCAATTATACACAGAGTGGCTGATGAAGTCATGGCAATTTTGCCAAAGGTTGTGGCCCTACCAAAGTCAGAAGAACACCTGCTCCAGGTTGGTGCAGGCTTTGCTTCTCTCACCAATCACCAGGCATTTGGTAAAGCTGTTGGAGCCATTGATGGATGCCCTGTGAGAATAAAACCACCAGCTGGCCCTGATGGACAGTGTTATAAAAACAGGAAGCTGTTTGCCTCCATCCTGCTTCAAGGGATATGCGACCATCGAGGGGCATTTTTGTAGGGTACCCCGGGAGTGTCCACGAATCATGGGTGCTTAAGAACAGCCCCATTTACAACCAGGCAAAGTATCCAGCTCAGGGCTTTTTCCTCCTCGATGATGGTGGGTACCCTTGCACATTATGACACCTTTTAAGAATCCAGCCTCACCATCTTCTCAGCACTTCAATGCACATTTTTCCACAGGCCACTCATTGAATGATGAAGACGCAATTTAGAGCCATCTTCCTTCAAGCACTTGCAGTGCATCCAACGTTTGCACCAAAGGTTGCATTATTTTTCTTTATATTTGACTTTTACTTATGCAAAAAATATGACCAGAGTTCTTTGCATAAAGACCCATGGCTGGCAGGTCAACGTGCTACTTCATTTCTCTCCAATATGGTAGGAAGCTAAATGAAATGAAATGTGGAGGATGTGAACTGTGATAAGATGATTGACAGGCCAGTTTACAGTGACAGGGTGCGTGTAACTATGTGACAGAGCAAAGCTTCTACTACAAACTCAAAAGTGTGTACTTTTTCTTCACCAAAAGAGTACATACTTTAAGAGCGTAGTATAAGTAGGCACATTGGGTCGCAGCATGCTTTATTCGGCAGCCGGCAACCCGCCAAAATAAAAGCTTGCTGCTTTTAGGTTTGAAAGTGATGAAAATTCATATAAAAAAGTTAATATTAGCTTTGTATTTTTAAGTGTACTATAAAATAACTGTATTTTTATTTTATACTCAGTTATTTTTTTTAATATAATAGTGTTATCACACTGATTATTTTGTTTGTTATTTTATATATTTAATTAAAATACAAAATAATATGCAATAATATTATTATCACCATTAATAAGTATTTTTATAGTTATATTTAATGAGTCACACTATGTGCAGTGTGCGTACAAAACCAAATCTCCAGGTGCTTTCATTAGAACCAGACCGAAAAACTTATGATATGTACACAAGTGTTATTGCAGTACCACTGAGATACTATTCTAGTTTTTGTTAATATTTTAAATTAGATATTTATATTTTCTGTTTTAGTAAAAGTTATAGTAATTTTAGTGTGTTTTGTCATTTGTATATGTCGCAGTTTTTACTTTATTTAACTTTAGTTATTTTAAATGTTAAAATATTTTAAATGAGAAAATGAGAAATGCTGCCTTGGCAACTATTGTTATTTTATTTAGTTAATGTTTATTTTATTTAAAGTAATAAAAATGTTTGGGTTTGGTTTTAGTTGAAGATGATAACCCTGACGTACACTCGCTCTTGATTGGCTGGATTTGTCGTGGTTACGTCACTCACGGAAAGCTCCAGAGCTATCTAGAACTCCCGAACTCTCGCGATAAAACGGTTGACGTGAACTCCAGCAGCGTTACCCGGCAGGGAGTCGGAATTCGGCACAACACCGGTCTGCATCAACTTAGTCAATGGACATTCGAGAACTATGAAATCGCGCTAAACACGACTTTTAGGAATAACAAGCTTAACTACGCTCCTCCGTGACTGTTATATATTTTAAAAAGGACACTTCTCGCTAGTATCCAGTATTTTAGCCGTACTGTACGTTAGTTGTGATTTCCAGTGAAGATGTCAGTGGTGGGATTTGATGTGGGCTTCCAGAGCTGTTATGTTGCTGTCGCTCGGGCCGGAGGAATAGAGACCGTAGCAAACGAATACAGCGACCGATGCACACCGTAAGTCAAACTTCTTCCATTCTGCGTTATACTGCCTCTTTTTAAAGACTGAATGTGTTTCTCTCTGTTGTAAAACTGACCTGTCACAATCCATTCACGCGGTGACATCAAAATTAAGAAGCGTGGACCGTGAAAGAAGCATGTTTTCTTTCAGTATGTCGTTCGATTTGATCTGAATAGCGTCTAACTGGTTAACAACACCTACTCCCCCTATGGTATCGGATTAATATTGCCTATAAGTATGGCAGCAGTTTTTCATTGTGATGAGAGAGCGGTTAACGGTTAGCCTCGTGCTACAGCGTGGCTCTTGTAGCTGATGTGACGTCACACTGGCGGCCGCGGGAACATTCTAGCACATTTTAATAAGGCCGCTCTGAAACCGACAGACAGAGCTATTCCTTATGCATTTCTTATTATTATTATGTCGAGTATATCGTTTTAGCATTTACGTGACTTTTAAACGTGTTATTTAAAATGTTAACTAGTGTTAAATAATAGTTTCTGATGCACCAAGGAAATGTCTAGAGATAATAGGAATTAATGGCAAGCTGATCGAAGATAAGTCAGTGTAATTTATGTTAGGCTGCTACGTTGTAGTTGATGCTTTCCTGCTGTAAATGAGCCCTCAAAGACAGAACAGAACCTCTGTTTAACAGTCAAACAGACAAGGTTATAAATCTAAAAAAAAAAAGAACAACCACACAAATCTCAGGCATTTTTATTAACTTGAATTCTATCACCTCTGATAGTTATAAAATTACTTTTTGGAATTGGGGTGTCTTTACTTCAAAGAGAAAATCTTAATAAATAGTGATGTTGTGTATTAAATCATGCTTTAAGTTGTAACTGTTAAAATGGTTAAATGTGTTTAAAATGTGCTTAGTTTATAACAATGATATACCACTCTAATGAAAGATTAGGCTACTAGTTAAAGGCACAATATGTAATTTTCGCCGCTGGAGGGCGCGTATTCAAAATAAACAAAGAGACAAAGGCGTAGTTTGATGACGCCGTGACTGAGTGTGGAATCATGGGAGTTGTCGTCTTCATCCCCACAGCCGATGCAATCCGACGGGACTCGGGCAGAAATCATGTTCATGGATGAGCTAATGATTTATTAACGTAGTAGAATGAAGCAGGGTGAGGCTGAAAGCCGTCGAAGCGAAACGAGGCGCTGAACGAGCGCGACACACGGCTCGAAAGCAGCGGAGCTTTTATTATGCCACAGTCGAGCGCTTCCGCTGCTTCCGGTCGTGCGTATGTGGGGTAAAGCAGCGCTGTTTTATCATACTACATACATTTGAAAGTTCTGTTATAATGCTACTCTGTGCGGTCGTCACCGGTCTATTAAAACACCCAACATATTAAACCGTCTTTGGTGTTTCCATGTTTTCTACAAAATAAATCGGAAATCGAGGGGTTATGACGTCATTAGCAGGCGACACAATGACACTATGGACACGGTCCATGTCACTAGTTAAAACTGCTTATTTCTCTGGATTTAAACATTCTTCAAAACATTTGGGATAATGTAAGTACACAAGTCAGCAAAATATATAACACTGTTCTAGTGGTGTTTGGATATTTTAATAAAAAAAACTTACATATTGTGCCTTTAATA